AAGAACAAATAAATAAAAAGTTCATATTTCCCATTTGTTAATCCTTCCTGTTATCTCAAAAATAACTGGATAACTTCTAAATACCTACTAAAAGTCAAATCTGTGGCTCATTCATGTAACTATATGAAAAACAAAATCTAATTTCCTCCAGAAGACTTTTCTTTTCTGGCTGTAAAGAGACTACCATGGTTTCAACGTATCTTTTGATGACCAATTCTGATGAAAAATAACCATAAACCACACCTATCAGTTCTTACCTTGCAAAAATGCAAGCTTCTTTTAAAATAACTGACATTATAAATGTAATTTTTTTCTTTAACCAGTCTTTCTATAACACAAACAACAGATCTATTGTTCTAGAATTTCTATTACCTTTAGTTAAATTGGATTATGTGTTAATCAGTTTTTCATTGCTATGAAAGTTAAATACCTGGTAAGAACAACTTAGAGGAAGAAAAGTTTTTTATGGGTTTATGGTTTCAGAGGTTCAGTCCATGGTCAGCTGACTCCATTGTTCTAGGCCCAAGGKGAGGCAMAGCATCATGGAGGAAGGTCATGGTGAAAGAAAGCTACACAACCCATGGTGGCCAGGAAGCAGAGAGAGAGAGGAAGGGGCCTCAGGRAAGATGCACCCTACCAGAGCACATCATCAGGAGCATCACATCCAACTCCTGTCAYGCTCCACCTGCTTCCACCTGCTTACAGTTACCAGCCAGCTAGTCCATTCAAACTAAAATGGACAACTAGTTTACAGTTCCCATAATCTMATCATTCACCTCTGAATATTCCTGYACTACCAGGAGTTTTTGGAGGACACCTCACAYCCAGACCATAACAGGTGAGAACCGAACAAGTCTAACCATAAGACTTCTAAAAATCAATTCTATGGTACCCAGATAAAATGAATACATAAATTTAGGGGGAAAGTTTTAAATAAGAAGCATTATTTTCAATCTATATAATGTTTTCATTATATGAAACCTATCCAATGAAGAAAAAAATCAACTTAAGCATTTTAARTAAGGCTTTACCAATCTATCAAGCATACACTTCTTTAAAATAAGCTGAATCTAGTGCTAATAAGTAAGAACTATGCCATTTTCAATCTTTGATTATTATGCCTAACTTTGGTCCATAAATTGGTACACTCAACTGAAGTTAAATTTTCAATTAGCATATCAGTTAAGACAGCACATAAAATGCTCCACTCTCCTCTATTTCCATGTTTTTAAAGCCACATAAAATTAAATCATCTACTGTTAAGGTTTTTAGTAGAAATTGATTTAACAAAATCTAAATCTATAACAATTAAAAATACATGTGTTTTCAACAAAAAGTGCTGAAACAACTGAATATACACATGGAAAAAAGTTGGCATTTAACTTCATCTCACATCAGAAGAATTAACTTCAAAAGGTTCTTAAAAACTAAAACAATAAAATATTTACGACAAAACATAACTAACCATAAATCTTTGAGATCTTGGGCTAAGCAAACATGTCTTAACTATGACACTAAAAGCAYGTTCATAAAGAAATTAATAAATTGGACCTCATGAAAATTCATAACTTTTATACTTCAAAAGACGCCATTAAAAAATGAAAAAACCTTTAAACAAAAGACTGGGAGGAATTATGTACAAAACATGTCCAATAAAAATTTGTATCTAGATTTTTTAAATTATTTCAATTCAACTTATAAGATGACAAACAGCCTGTCTTACTTCATTTTTGGTTGCTATAACAGAAYACYTGAGACTGAATAACTTATAATGAAAAATTTATTTTGGATAGAGGCTGGGAAATCTAAAGTATGGTATCAGCATCTGCCAGTTTCTGGTGAGRATCTCATACTGCTTCACCTCAAAGCAGAAAATCAGAAGGGCAAACAAGCGAATGGGAAAGAGACAAAACACAAGGGCAGCCCCACTTTATAATAACTAACCCATGCTCAAGAGAAAGGCATTAGTTAATTCCTCTTAATGATCTAATCATCTAGTGAAGATTACCTCTCAATTCAGTTACACTGGGAATCAGATTTTAACAKGAGTTTCAGAGGAGGCAAATAATATTCAACCATAGCACAACCCAATCATAAAAAAAAATGAGCAGAGATACACAGACATTTCACCAAAGAAGATATTATAAATGAGTACATGAAAATGTGTTCAACAACATCAGTCACTGGGAAACTRTAAAATTAAAGCCTCAATGACATACCATTTCATTCTCACTAGGACCATTTCACACCCAAAGATAYRAAGAAAAGAGAACTCTAATACATTGTTGGTGGRACTATAAAATGGTATAACCATTCTGGAAAAGTTTGGCAGGGTCCCAAAAAATTAAACATAAAACTAAGATATAACCCACCAATTCTACTTCTAGGTATAAGAAAAAGTGACCACATACAGGCTTCCATGTTAATATTCATGGCAGCATTATTTGTAATAGCCCACAACTTAAAACAATATCCATTGTCAACTGGTGTATATATGGACAAGATATGGCATATCCATTAAACAGAATACTATTCAACAATAAAAAGGAAAAAACTAATGACATGTCACCCAAGAACTGATAAAGAAGCTACAAATGAGACTCCATATTGAATAATCCCAATTATAAGAATCCAGAAAAAAGCAAATTTACAGACATAAAACAGAGTAAGTTTCCTGTGGCTAAGAGYAGGAATGAGATTAACTGTAAGTGTATATAAGGGATCTTACTGTACTGTTCTATAATGTTCTACAACTGATCTATAATGATGGTTGCAGAATCTGGTAAAATTACCCAAAAATGTTCAACTCTGTACTTAGAATGGGTGAATTTTATTTAAATATATATATACACATCAATAAGGCTGTTTTAAAAAAATGCATGTGCTTTTGTTTCACCTGCCCTTTAATTAAATTAATAACTTTAGGTTGCAGCAATTTCTACAATTTAAAATTCAAAAAACTACTACATTGATTACAGTCAGAAGCCACAATATATTTTTAAAGAAAATCTAACACAATGTTACGAAAACAACTTCCAACTCAACAGGGACTCTCCAGGAAAAACATTTCTCATAAATTCAAGTTCCCTCAAGTTCACATTTTAAGAAGCCAGTACCTGGACGCAGCTCAATGATGTCCTTTACAATGGCTGACTGTTCTGATGGGTATTCTACTCTGCATGCAGATTAGATTACAGTAGAAGCAGAATTTTAAAAGACAAACAAAAGAGTTTTAACACCATTTGAAAGGATGTGCGATTAAGTTATGTAACTTCATGAGTATACATGTCCAAATGACRGTTTTAGCTTGAGTAATTCTATGTCATAACACAACCATCCTCAGCAATGATATTAAATGTCAAGTAACATAACAGGCACTAATCCAATCTCTAACCCAATCCCTGGCTCTTCCTAGATTCATTCTAAATATATGCTAATTATCCATTCTGCTTAAAAGATCTTTCAAAAGTAATCCAGGACTTCACAGCCTTCCAAAACTTCAAAGAATTTTAAAAACTTTTTAGGTCTTTACACAAAAACCACGTAGTCTGTGAGGCCTTGCCTGACCACCTTATTGAAAACTGCCAACCTTACAAAACTCCCCATCCTCCCTTCCCTGATTCACTTTTCTCAATAGTGTGAAACATAAAATTTACATAATATTCTAATATGTATTATTTACATATTCTAAATATGTATTACYTGTCTTACTTTACCTTACATGAAAGTACCCTCCATGTAAGATCTGATTTTGTTCCTTGCTGTATTCCCATTGCCTGGACGGGTGTCTATCATGCTGTAAATGCTCAATAAGTGGGGTTTTTTTGTTGTTTATTTTTTTTGTTTTTGATCAAATGAGTGGGTATCACACACATGAAAGACAACAGGCACGGATCCTTGCCACTGGAATGAACAAGAGTCTTCAAGTGAGGTTAAAATGTGAATTTTATAAGAACTCGAATAGAATCTGTAGCCAGCCTACCCAGCACTTATTCAGCAAAAAAATAAAAAGCCAATGCTTCACTTTATTATTCTGGATTTACAACAGAGTATTATTAATAAATAAGCAAGCTCCAGTTTTGGAGAGAGGGCAGGTTAATTAAATCCCATGTGACTTATTAACAAATAACAGAGGAAAGTTTAATACTTAACTAGTAAGAAGTGCCGTATAACGTTTCAAAAGCAAGTGTGTTTTTCTACACCCAAAATAGGATCCCAGCTCCAAGAAAACAGACCTCAGCAGCATACGCCTTAGCAGTTCTGCCTTCCTCAGCCCCAAATCCTCCACCACCAAGGAACGTGTTTCTCTCCCCGTCCTCCCACCAGCCTCCCAGAACCGTTTTACACACACCAATCCACCCTCTGACCTCCAGGTTCCAACTAACCCCGGCCCAAGCCGGCAGCATTTCAGCATTTCACACAGAAAGCCCACTGCAACCTCCTGGTCCCTGGCTCGGCCCCCAAAACGGTCAGGTCCACCAACCCAGCGTGCTGGCACACGAAAGAATCCGGAGAAGGCAGGGACCTCCCTGCAAGGCCAGAATTGGAGGACATCTTAACCTCATCCTGGATCTGCCAACTGCTCTTGACCTTGGGCGTGTCACTGAACCTCCTGGGGTCCCGGTTCTYTCGCCTTTAAGGTGAGGCTAACATCTGGACCAAGCCGCTGGGAGGTAAGACTGGACCTCACGTAACGCCACCAGAGCCCCCGGCGCGCCACGGCGACTCGCCCAGCCCTCGGTTGCAAGCATTATTCCCAACCCTTCCCTCCGGCCGCGCGCCCGAGGCACCGCGCCGACCCGGTCCCCAGTCTCCGAGTTCTCCAGAGGAGGACGCGGAGGCGCCGAAACGCGCAAGGTGCCCGGCCCCGGCCCCCCGCAGAGGCGGGCGAGCGCAGCACCTGGAGCCCGGGACGCCCGCGCCCCGCCCGCAGCCCGGGGCTCGCTCCGCGCGGCCGCTCCACCTGCCGCCCGCCCGCCCAGCCTCGGCGCGCACTCAACTCTTCACTTTGCCGAAGGTGCCGACGCCCAGCGTGTCCCCCAGCACGTAGTGCCCGATCTTCACCCGCCCGTCGTGCTTCTGCTTCTCAGCCATCTTCGGCGCGCGGCCTCGCTTCGCCGCCCGGCCTCCGCGCGGACGCCGCCACCGCCTACCCACAGTGCAGCGGGACGGGGGCGGGCCGCGGGCGCGGGGCTGGCGGGGCGGCGGGGCGCGGGCGGCCGGCGGCGGGCGACGCCGCTGGCGGGCGGGCGGGCGGGGCGTGGGATGAGCAGCGCCCTCGCGTGAGGCGCGTCCAAGGCCACTCGGCGGTGACGCGGGCCGGGAACGAGTGCGCGCGGGCGGGGCCGAGCCAGGTGCGCCGAGGCCGGAGGGCGGGGCCGCGGGTTGTCGAGAACCTTGTATCCCAGAGCGGGCTGGGTCGGGCGGGTCTCTGGGACTGGATGGAGATGTAGACACCAGAGGAGACGCGCCCGACTACGGGAGCAAGGGAACGTGAAACTAAAACGTGCGCCCGCGGGAAGTCGAGGATGGAGGCGCGGTAAGGGCTTGATCCGAGCGCGGTCGGCGGACAGCTGCGGCGGCGAAGGGTGCTTGGTACTGGTCGTGACACGCAGAACCCAGGACGGCGCTCCCCTCACTTGTCCTCTGCTTATTCATTCATTCGCATTTTGCCCTGTGAATGGAAGCAACCCTTTCCTCCAGCGCTCTCAGGTTCGACTTGAATAAAGTTTCCCAACATCACAGTTGCAGGACTTGCTGGAGCGTATTTTAGCACACGTTTGTATAAATAGGTAGTATAGAAATACTATGTGATAGAGCTGCACAAGAAGGAAAGGGAAGCTCAATGCAATGCAGATAAAAGCAAAATGCATACAGGACAAAGGAGTTGTGAGAAACAAGTGCAATGCAAAGGCCCCAAATCCTCCACCACCAAGGAATGCGTTTCTCTCCAAGTCCTCCCACCAGCCTCCCAGAACCGTTTTATACACACCAATCCGCCCTCTGACCTCCGGGTTCCAACTAACCCCGGCCCAAGAAAAAAAATATGTAATAAAGGAAGAAGTGAAAAAAATGGTGAGAGGAAATTAGAAATATGATGCCCAGCCGGGCATGGTGGCACACGCCTGTAATCCCAGGAGCTCTAGAAATGAGGCAGGAGGATCGCGATTTCAAACCCAGCCTCTGCAATTTAGAAATAGCCTTATGCAACTCAGCGAGACTCTGTCTATAGATAACGTATTAAAAAAAAATGGCTGGGATCGTGACATAGTGATTAAATGCCCTGGGTTCAATCCCCGGCACCAAAAACAAACAAACATGATGCCCAAAAGAGTATTAAAGACTGCCAGAATTCAATCATGTCATTAATCGCTTACCTACTTCCTGACTCCCACCTTTGCTTCTCTTCTTCCTCTTTCAGAGCCTGAAAATTGCCTCTCACTACAAAATAAAAAAGATAAATATCTGAGTTAATGCATGTTAATTAGCTCCATTTAGCCACTCCCCAACTTACATATATTTCAAAACAATATATTGTACACCATAAATATCTACAATTTTTTGTCGATGAAAAAAGCAAACTCTTAAAACGACAAAAAATGATTATTTCCTACTTTGGGAATTAAATTTTCCTGTTTGGGATATTAATTATTAAGGATTAGTCAAACATTTATAAGACTATGCATGCCAATAGAGTTTCAAGGTCACATTCCTCAAATATGAAGTCTCACATCACACTGTTTATATGCAAAGAGAAATGTATTAATCAGAATAACAGGATGAAAAAAAATTTTGTTTTCTGAGAAGTGCAAAATACACAAATGACACTCATTCCAGTGTACACCCCAAGATAATCTGAGGAGACATGATCACCCTTTATAAATTATAAATATCACAGCTGTTGAACAGAGGCTATTTTTGTTCATTCTTGGGATCATCTTTCTTGCTGACAAGAAGTATCATTAAAGAATCACTTGATCTAGCTGGCAATTCAGAGAAAACAGTTATTTTTAATGCTGAACTTGTATGTAGTTAAGGGCCACTCCTTGGGTATTCATTTGAGTGAGAAAACAAACTGTGTATTCAGCTTTTGAGATATAGATGGATTTTTGTCTCTTGTTTTAATGTCCCAGTGAAAGATGTTCAAAAGTCTTTAAGTTAGAATGCTTTGGGGGCATGTATGATTTTGTCCAAGTGAACTCAAATGCCATGTATGATTAAATGCTCTAATAAAAATAATAATAAATTAGAATGCTTTCTTTTCTTTAGAATTTAATCTTTATTTGTTGTGGGGTTGATTGTTTGTTTTGTTTTTTTAATGAGGTGCTGAGGATTGAACCCAGGGCCTCACCTGTGTTAGGCAAGTGCTCTACCACTGAGTCACACCCCAGCACTAGAATGCTTTCTTAAAGCTATGAACTATAGATTGAGATTTTAAACATGAACAATTTTCCAGTAAATCACTGTGGCAGTACTTGCTTGAATGTATTTTAGCACAAGCTTATGTAAATAAGTAGTATAGAAATAGTATGTGATTGAGCTGCACAGGAGGGTTGAAAGGGTGGAAAAAAAGCTAAATGCAATGCAAATGAGAGCAAAATGGGTACTGAGCCAAAGGAACTGTGACTAACAAGTGTAATACAAAGGCACAAGTTAAAGAATAAAGTATAAATGTAGATTTTTAAAGGATGTTGCACAGCCTGAACTATTGGTAATCATGACTTAAATTTTTATATACTTCATAGCTATTCTTACATAGCTACTAGGGACTAACTTGTAGCTTTAGTTTCATGCCAAATATATGTAAGATTCTTTATTAAATAAGAAGTTACTTTAACCATCATTATCCCAGTTAATGGTCATAAAAGAAACTTCTTCTCATCCCCATTTATTAGGTGATAAAATTTAATTTTTAACCTTTGATTTGTCCAAGGCCAAAAAACTAAGTGGTAGAGCCAGGCCCATGCCCAGTTCTGACTCCTCCTTCTCTTTATACTCAAACTATAGCTGTCTTTGTGAAAGAGCATGTGGTGCTCTGGGGAGGTTTAACATGTTCACATAGCCTTCTGCTCACATTTTTTAAATTTGTAAGGCAAATCAATTATATGGCAATTTAATTTTTTGTTGTTGTTGTCACTGTTGTTTGTTCTACTTTTATTTAGAGAAAAGATGGAATGCTGCTGGTTGCTGTGGCATATGCCTAAGGCAGGAGGATCCCAAACTCAAAGTCAGCCTCAGCAACTTAGCAAGGCCCTAAGCAACTCAGTAAGAACCTGTCTCAAAATGAGAAATGAAAAAAGGGCTGGAGATATGGCTCAGTAGTTAAGGGCCCCTGATTCAATCCCCATTACCAAATAAATAAATGGATAAATGAATGGATAAAATAGTACATGGATGCGAAGGATAGAAAAAGAACAATTCTTAGTAACAGTATTCAGCCTTCTATTGCCCTAACCACTTCCTATACAGTTCAATAATTGCCTCACCCTGCTCAGGAATGCATAATTCAACAGTTTAACAGACTAGTCTCCTCTAGAGCCACGACTCTTGTAGATCTCCCCTAGAATGTTGGCAAATGTGATAATCCCCATATTATTAATTCCCAATGATGTTTTTAGTGTCCCTGTTTTGTTTAGCGCCAATTATGTAAGATTGGTGACCCCAAAGTTGTTCAGTTCTAAAACCTGGTCCAACTGTTTCTGCTTTACTTCCTACTACCGACCTTTGGCATTATTGTACTTCAAATACTCTAAAGCAGCACCCCAGTAGGAATAATGAAGCACTACTATACTACCAGACTACTAGACCCACTGGTGTTACCAAGAACCAATTCTTTCAAGTCTTTGCTAAGAGATGCCCTCTCTTTTAGGCCTACCCCATTACCCTGCTTAAAACTGCAATCTCACCCTGGTGCCCTACCCTGCCCTCTCACCTGCTGACCCTCCTCAATTGTTTTCCTCAGCACTCACCTCCTAACACATCATTTAACTTACTTGTTCACTGTTTTCTTTTGTTGTTTCTTCCAATTGGAGTGTAAGCTTTACAAAAGAGAGAGTTGTTTTGTCTCCCTTCTGTTCACTGATGTACCCTTAGCTCCCAGAGCAGTGTTGAGCAAACTGTAGGCATTCAGGTGGGCTCGCATTGTGTGACACTAAAGAGTACCCAATGTGGAGGATAGCTTTAAAGAAAAAAAAAAAAAACACACAAAATTGGGCATAAAAGCGAATACTTATGTGAAATGAAAAATACAACCACCTGCAAATTTTAAAACTCTAATGAATACCACAGATATCCTCAAATCCAGAAAAATAACAACATTATTAAAAATTAACTATAGAGACACCTCAATGATACTTGGTTTTTTACATTTTTTGGCTGTGCACTCAATAATTATCTTTGCATATTTTGATATTTTGTAATTTTTTATAGAGAGAATGGAAAGATAATTTTGTCCTTTCTTTAACATGATTGATTCCATTTTTGATTACCTATTTCTCTTCAGGTATCCCACTGCACATTTTTTATATTGCTAATATAGCATTTATCAAATTTATTATCATATATTTAGAAACTTATATGTATTTTTATATATGACAATGATATGTTTATATCCCATCTGCTATTCCTAGGGCCTAATGGAAGCTGGTATGTCATTCCAGAAATATTTGCTTAATTGAAATTTTAAAAAGTCTTACTAATCTAGAAAATCAAGAAGCAAAAATACAAGGAAGAATATAGTCTCTTTTTATGCATATACATATTAAATACAAAGTGTAATTTTAGTGTGGCGGTCATTAGTGAGGTTAGAGATCAGCATGAACAAGAACCTGTAGAACCTTATGGATTGGTGATGAGGTGTTTCTGTTACTGCTCTTCAACGTAAAATATAAAAAAAAGTTGGCTAGTCAATGATTAACGATACTGATAGTACCTCCTCTAAAGTATAAGCTTAATAATTACCTTTAAAATATTTTTATGAAAAACTTTAAATATCCACAAAAGTAGAGTAGAACAGGTAATCTTAGCCTCTATGATTATCAACATTGTCAACATTTACTTATACCCAAGGGTGCTTTACCACTGAGCTACATCCCCAGCCCTTTTTTTTTTTTGAAGAAAGGGTCTTACTAAGTTGCTTAGGACCTCCCTATATTGCTTAAGCTGTGATTCTCCTGCCTCAGGCTCCCAGG